TGGAGTCACTTCTCTACACAGCATGAAAACAAAGTCAGCTTTGAGAAGGTAAATTTACTTGGATCACTGTCTGACTTTAAACCTTTCAATGGCTTTTCACTGCCCTTAGAATAAAATTCAGCCCTCACCAGAATCCTCAAGGCTCTCCCTGATCTCACACTGATCTGACTCACTTCTGTATCCCTTCTGCGAATTAAGACTTCTTTCTCTCTTAAACAAACTGCATGTTCTCACCTAAGGGCTTTTGCATTTGTTGTTCTTTTTCTCTGGAACATTCTGCTCCTAGATTGTCCCATGGTATGGTATGAAGGGAGATATTCATCCCCTGGAGAGGCCTTCCCCAATCACACAACCCAAGACAGCCACCCTAACCCTAGTCACTAATTATTACCATTCCATTTCCTTCATAACACACACCTCACCTCTCATACGACTCTATTTATTCAACAGGTACCTATCTTCTACTTGCTCAATCCCCTTATGGATTCTCACCTCTTAGGAACAATGGGATATGTAAATAGGTAATATCTGAATGAAAGAAATATTACCTAGATATAAAAAAAGTCTTTGGACTCGGGAGGATGAGGCAAGAGAATCACCAATTTCAAAGCCAGCCTATACAATTTAGCCAGACCCTGTCTCCAAAAATAAAAAGGGCTGAGGTGTGTTGGCGGGGTGGGTGGTTCAGAGGTAAAACAATCCTGGGCCTCAATCCCCAATACTATACCACAAGAAAAGAAAACTAAAGCCTAACTGAGTGGAGCAAGCCTGTAATCCCAGTGACTTGGGAGGCTGAGGCAGGAGGATCACAAATTCAAAGCCAGCCTCAGCAACTGAGCAACCAAAGCAACATAGTTAGACCCTATCTCAAAATAAAAAAAAAGGGCTGGGACATGGCACTTGGGTTCAATCCTGTTACCAAAGAAAGAAAGAAAACAAAACTTAAAAAGAGAGCAAGAAAGAAAAGGCTGCTTTAAACAAAATGATAATTCTGGAAGAACACAAAGATTCAGATGTGCAAGAGGCTAAGGCAGACTTACTATTGAAGTCAGAAATAGTGCTCTCCAAATTCTTGTGAAAATCGTCAAAGAAACTAAAAATAAAAAGCTGAAGTAGAGTGAGCCTGTGGACTAGAGAGATGCTTTAAAACTGGTCAGATGCTTGCTGGACCTGGGCTTTGTTCAGATCTTGCCAAACTAGAAGGAAAAATGGAATATAGATAGTGTGCTCCAGAGATCCTGTAATGAGCCAAGACCCTGTAGGATCTTGGCTAAAAAGGTTAATCATTTCAAGTTAATTTAGATGCACTGTTGAATTCTGACTCTCAAGTCTAATACAACCTTTCTATTCTCCAATCCTCAGAAATTTTCACTCTTACATAACACATTTACACTTAATGAGTACCCAAAAACCCTAAGCCCTTTGAACGAGGTCATCTTTTCAGAGAGACTCAGCCCATAGTCTAATTGGACATGCTAGTCCCATCTGCAAAACTCCAGTATAAGCTGCAGTTAATATTAATTAAGGGCAGAAACAGGTTTGAATATCCTTTCAATCAAGTCCAACATGCTCCCAAATGGAAACCTGCCAGCTTCCCTGCACTTGAGATAGCAGATCGAGTATAGAACAATGGGACTTTTTTTAATACCACTATTTGTCCAATACTTGAAAAAGGATTTTCATATCCTTCAGATATGACCCAGCAAAAGAAGTTATCATTAAAGGTTAGAATTTTTAATGGTAGTCATTTTATAGAGTTCCAGCTCTGTGTGTCCATGTACTCATTACACCTACCTGTATGCACACACAAACACACAAGGAAAGAAAAAAGTAACATTCTTCGTGATCGAGTAAGATCCAGTCCCTGGCAATCTAAGGTAACTCTCCTTTCTATTTACTCACAGTGTGCTAAAGAAAATTCAAGCAAGCCAAAGATTGGGGGTGGGCCTCCAAAAAAGGTATTTGATAAGCCTCAGCCTGCACTGCTCCAGGCAGCCTTGGAAAGAACAGTTATCAGGAAGCTAATCTCAGATCCATCCAAATACAAATTTTTCCCATAGATCAGAGATAATTAAACAGAATAGACTCTTGCTATTTGACTTCTGGGGAAGATGTACACAGTAAATGTCCCATGCCTTCAACACAGACTTACTGAACCCTTTGTAGTACATTGGGTAATGTGACAGACTCCAGTTTCAGAGTGTTTACTGGAATCTGGTATAGGTGGAAGGGGCAACAAGGAGCACAACAAGATTATCTTGATTTGGGCTGGAAGTATAGCTCAGTAGTAGAGAGCTTGCCTAGTATGCAAAAGGTCTTGGGTTAGATTGCCAGCATTGCAAAAGAAAACAATGCTATTGCCCCTAGCACCTTGAACACTGACACATTCCAGGCACTAAGTAAATATCTACTGGATGAATTAGGCATTTATTATGTTGCTATAACTATATGCAACAGCAGCAACAAAATCAACAGGTTATGCATGTACAAGAGGAAAAGTGGATTCTGCCAGGGCAGGTAAGGGAAGGCTTACTTCCCAGAAGCAATGTCAGAGTGGCCCTTTCCTGAAGAGCAGCCTTTCATCAGGGAGTGGCTGAAGGAGAAAGCCATGCAGCCTGGAGTGTGCCTGAATCCAGGCTACAGCAGATGGCCTGAGCTACTTTCCAATTCAAATTCCAACAAAGGTTCTATTTCCTGGGGTTTTGTTGTGTGTTTCATCATCTCCTTCAAACCTTCAACTACAAAAGCATACGTATACACTGCTGTTGTGCTTCTCTATCAGGAAATTAGCTAAAAAGCAAACAGCAGGTAACAGATATAAAAATAAATACCCGTAGAATGCTTTTTTATTTACCAGGTAGTGGGTCTCTAGGATTCTTGGCCATCCACCCACCTCAGCCTCAAGCTCTGCAACTATAGGTATATGCCACTATACCCAGCCTCACTTAAACTTTCTGAGTGTGAAAAAAATCATCAAGGCCCCAAGTCCATAACAAATTGCTGGCCTCTTCTTTCTCTCCTGATAGATTTTTTATTGTTTCATGCAAAAAAAAAAAAAAAAACTGATACCCAAAAAAAGAAAATTTCAACTTTTCAAAGTCACTTCTTACTCCAAGGGAAAACAGGAGGGGGTGGAAGAATGAAGATACCTGAAAGAATAAAATTCAGGAGAGGAAAGTTAAAATGGTATACAAAGGGAGGGAAGGGTGAATAGCAAGTGGAAAGTTTTCAAAACCCTGCAGAAAGAAGCCATTTCCCATCAAATGATCTTTTAAAAAGAAAGGCTAGGAGCCCAGCCCCAGGAGGTACAGTGAGAAGACCTTCATGCCAGAAGGAAATAAGTCACCAATTCAGGTATAGAGGGTGTTGTGGATGGGCTCCAGGTCACCTTGTGGTCCTGCACTCTCCTCCCCCAAGGAGAAGCCTCACAAAAAACCCTCTGACTGGGCTGGAGATGTGGCTCAGCAGTAGCACGCTCATCTGGCATGCGTGCGGCCCGGGTTCGATCCTCAGCACCACATACCAACAAAGATGTTGTGTCCGAGAACTAAAAAATAAATATTAAAAAAAATTCTCTCTCTCCCCTCTCTCACTCTCTTAAAAAAAAAAAAAAAAAAAAACCCTCTGACTACCCTCCCCCCAAACTGCATTCCAAATACAGAAAGTATAAGAAACATTTGAATGTGGTATTAAAATTAAAATAGGCCCGCTTGAGGTAACAATATCCACAGGAGAAAATTCAAAGTGTAATCTGGTAAACATAACGTTTCCATCTGAAACGTGGGGGCGAGGGGAAGAGTGTTCTTGGGAATAAAAGCTTGCTTTTACAACCTGCTTAAGAGGTAATGAATAAACTGCTTTGCAGATGTTCTCAATTCCTTGCTTTTAAGCGTTGCTCCTGTTTCCCAGCACTGTCCTCCACCCTCCTCTTCACACTAATCTCTGCTTCTGAAATGCAGATCCCTGGATAATTAGCCCGTAATGGACAATAACCACCTAGGACAAGATGAGAACTGCGGGCTAGAGTCAAGGACCCCGTCTGCAATAACACGTTTCCAGGAGAGTTGCTAATTATGAGCACCATGCATCCCAGAAGGGTTGTGTACCTGGCAGCACTTCCAGCACTACCTCTCGCCTTTTCATGCCAATTTGTTTGGAACTGGTATGAACGTGGAGTGGGAGAAGGCAAAAGGGATGAGCTGACCACTGTCGGACTACCGTAGGAGATAGGTGATCTATATCCCCAGCTTCACCACGCCAGCCGAGGGAGGCAATCGAGAAGCCATTTCCAAGAAGGCTGGATTCAAAATGTAATTTAACAAAACGAGTCTCCCTAGTCTCCTGGCGGCCAGGCCTCGGCTTGGCGGGTGGGGGGTAGGGAGTTGGTGGGGGAGAGTTTAGCTTTAGGGGAGCGAAAAGATAGGCCTTTCAAAGCCACCAAGGGCTCTACCCCGAGGCCCAAGACGACGCCGAGGGGCTGAAGCGGCGCTCGGTAGAAAGCCCAGCGGTGCCTTGGGCTCCCCAGCGCGCAGCGGAGCAGGACTCCCACAGGTGGGCGGCGCTGGGCCCCGGGAGCTCAGGCTGGGGAAGGAGACGCGCGGCTCACTAGGGACCTGGGGGATGGGCCAGAGGGGACCCAGGGGCTGAGGGACCGCTTGGTCCAAGTAGGCAGCGTGAAAGCGAAGCTCAGGGTTTTCTGCTGCCTGGCTCTGGCTCCCTGAGCCCGGTAGTCACGGGCTTTTCCACCCAGGCAGGAGAAGCTGCAGGTCCCTCCTACTATCCTCCCCAGAGCCGGTGCCTCCTCCCCGGGCGCGGTTAAGCCGCGCGGCAGCGGGCAGCCGCTGCATGCTCTCCTGCACGTAGGAGCCTGCACCGCCACACGCGGGCGGGGGAAGGGCGCCGGGGACCGAGAAGACCCGGCCCCTCTCCGACAGTGTCTCTCCCCCGCCTAAACCGATCCCGCTTGGCTCACCCCCGCCCCTCCCCCCACAGCCCCTCACCCGTGTTGGCTTTGAGGTTCTCCCGCAAGAAGTGGCCACTGGAGAGATGCTGGAGGCCAAAGTTCTGGGCGATCCTCTGGCACACGRTGCCCTTGCCCGAGCCAGGCGGCCCTAGGATGACCGCGCGCAGGAGTTTGGAAGCCATGGCCTTCCCGAGGAGGCGAGCGGCCCAACTGGCAGCCCAGTCAGCGGCCCCAGAGGCAGCCCCGGGAACTTTGTTTCTTGGCCCCTGCCTCRGGCACCCTCTGCTCACGCGGGGACTCTCCTGCCGCCCCTACTGGGGAAAGGAGAGACTTTTAAGACAACCCCTCCCCTCAGCCCCGCCCTCCGCCACCTCCTCGCCCCCAGGCTGCAGTTATGGAGAACTCCAATGCCCCCGCCCAGCGTAGTCAGCCCTCGGGGGCGCGGAGGTCGGCCCCGCCAGTTCCAATCTTGATCCCTTCCGCTGTCTCACTCCCACGCCTTGTCCTAGGAGGGAGTCGTGTGGCCGGGCATCCCCAAACCAGTCTCGGACTAGCTAGGGAAACCGAGATAAGGGGGTGACTCAAAGCGCGCCCCCGCCGCCCCGACGCTCCGGGCATCCTGGGACTGAGCCCCTGCGCGATTCCCGCACGTGGGCAGCCTGTATCCGCACCTCGGCCCCTCCCGGGCGGCTGTCACATTCTCTGTAGTCACTGTGGCCGCCGCCGCTGCCCGCCGCCCGCGCGCAATTGGAGGGGCCCACCTCCGCCCGGGGTTGGCAGATGCGCTCCCCAGCCAAGGGCCAGGCGCAGAGCCGGAGCCCCGCGCCTCTCAGCCAAAAGCAAATAAACACACCTCGGCTGAAAGTAGCGCCACCGGAGACACCCAGCCCGGATCCCGATGGGCGGCGCCGCCTCCGCCTGCTCAGTCTCCGAGCCCAGGGCGGCCGCCCGGGATCGCTTCTTACGTAAGCCGGGGAGACCGGCTCAGTTCTAGCCACCGGCCGGCGCCCCCTCTATTCCCCACCCCCCGCCTCCCCAGGCCCACGTGCTCCCCAAGATCCAGTGGGGGCTGCGGGGGCGAAGGAAGGTGGAAACGACGCCAGAGAAAGAAACCCCCTTTTTTTGTATTGCCTAGGATCTATTGTGAACGAAAAGGAAAAATAACAACTTGTTGAGCGTATTCCGCTTGTCAAGTGTGAACCTATGTGATTTCATTATTCAACGACCTTTCAGGTATAGATGAGGAAAGGAGTCTTGGCGTGGTACCTTTCATTCTTTTATACATAATTCAACAGTGTTTTGGTGAGCGCCTATTATGTGCCAGACACTTTTCTGGGCGCTTGGGGCATAGCCATGAACAAGTGATCGAATCACTGCGCGCATAGCAATGATGTTCCACAAGTAGTTTCGAACCCTGTCATATTCCAAAGCCTGAGCGCCTTGGGAAAGAAGGAGGGGATGTCTTTTACTTGTGCTCAGGAACTTAGAGCAATGCCTACTGATTCCAAGGATTTCCATGTCTAAGATGTTGGCCCCACACCCACAACTCAAATGGAAGCTGTCTCTGTGCGCAGCTCTCCGCACATCCCCATCCATATTTTCTTCATTCTGTTCTTACCCACAGCCCTCCAATTTCCCACCCTAAATAGTACCATAATCCCTTAACTCTCCATCTTTCGCGCCATTCTATTTTCCATGCAGTTGTTGAAAATATTGCTTAAGTAAAAAATCAATGCTTTATTTTTCCACTGCAGAATAAAGTAAAAAAAAAAAAAAAAATCTACAGCAAGGGATAGGCTTCTATGTCTTTGCATTCCGCCTAGACTCTTCCTTGCTCTTCCTTCCGCAGGCCTCCTGCCCTTTGGCAATCCACTGCAGAATTCTGAGAGCCAGTATCTGTAACTCAAGAGAGTGTGAGGGACACAGTAGTGACAGTATGAAGAAGAACCTTCTCTAAATTCCTGGTGGCTCTGTTTCTGTGATGGGACAAGGGGTAGAGCTTGCCTTGTATCCTACCACACAGTCCTTCTCCTCTTCCAACGCACAGAATTGGCCAAACCCCATACCCAGGACACCAACCTTTACACCAGCATTTGTACCATTGACTAAACTCCTAATATATCTCAGAGTGTGTTCTAGACCATATACTGAGCACCTTCAGCCCTTCACTGCATCAAAGAGGAGGAAGGGCTTCTGGGGGAGAAAGTGTTGCTTAAATTTTCCCTTTTCTTTCTGCTATATGTTGTATAACATGTGCAGGTAATTCTGTGCAGCGTTGTCAGATGAGAGCATGCATCAGAATCACCTGGAGGCCTTGCTAACACATTTTTGCTGCCAGAGGTGGTGACAGAAGTCGCTGTAGTTGTAGCGACTCTGGAGGCCGAAGCAGAAGGATCCCAAGTTTGAAGCCAATCTGAGCTATTTAGCAAAGACCATAAGCAACTTAGCAACAGCCTGTCTCAAAAAATTAAAAGGACTGGGGATGCAGTCAGTGGTAAAGCAGGTGCAGTGGCCGAGGCCTTATAATCCAATGATTTAGGAGATTAAGGAAGGAAGTGTGAGACTAGCCTCAACAATTTAGGGAGGCCCTCAGCAATTTAGCAAGACCCTCAAAATCAAAATAAATTTTAAAAGGACTGGAGTGAAGATATAGTTCAGTGGTAAAGTGCTCCTGGGTTAAATTCTCAGTACCAAAGATAATAATAATAATAATTGATTCTAGTGGAGCCTGGAACTGGCTTGGAATTTCAGCAATTTGGAAGCATGAAATAGGAGATCCTAAATTTAAGACTAGTATGGGCACTTTGGTAAGATCCTGTCTCAAAATAAAAATATATGGGGCAAGCCTCTTGATATCTGTGAGTTTTAGTTGGCTTATCTGTAAAAGGAAAAAAAAAATCCACCTCAAAGACTTGTGGTGAGGCTGAAATGAAACCACAATATGAAGGACTAAGCAAAGTGCTGAGCACATAATTAGCATTCAATTATAAACATCATCCGGCCATTAACCATGGGCCAATTATTTGGCCTCTCTGAGTTTAAGTTCATGAAATTCAAAGAATAAATAAGATAATACTATAACAAAGCACAAAATAGGTTCCCTGGTGCTTGGAAGATACTCAGTAAATTACTGAGAGGTTTTGTTTTTTATCTTTTATTTTGAGACAGGATCTCCGTAAATTGCTGAGGCTGGTCTTAACCTTGGAGTCCTCCTGCTTCAACCTTTGAAGTACCTGGGATTATAGCTCTGCACCACTACTAGCCCAGATATCTCAATTGTTTATGATAGTAACGGAAAGCTGAAAACACACCTCTGTTCATGCTGACTTCATCTCATTGTTTATGGCCTCCACCAGCACAAGATAGAATGCAGGGTGTGGAGAGCTTTGAGCAAGAGTTGAAGGGCTGGCTGACAATTGAACAAATAAGGGAAGATCTTTCTCTCTTGGTTTTCTGTGAAGCTCCTCTGGACAGATAAGAGAAAGGCTAGAGACTTAAGATGCCCTGCCGCAGTCTGGCTGGGCACAAAATCAGGAGCCACCACACACCTTGTAGATTCAAACAGCAACTCTTTATTCTGGAACTCACACAGGCCCTCTACAAACAGGTTCTGGGGAAATTCACGTCCTGGCGCAAAATTCACGTACTCCACCAGGCTTTGAATCCCAAATAATTTCTGAATCCCA